TATTATTTTCTACTGTCCACTGTACAACCAGCTACACAAATGTGTGTTATCCCCTTTTTTGGGTAGTTTAACATCATGGCACAATGAAAATAGCAGATTCTACCTGTCTGGTATTAACCTGGAGATAACTGCAAGGGTGGCTGAGTTTCTGTCAATGGTATCTCTTAGAGTGGTCAATGGCATGGTATAGCAGGAAGACACTCCAATGAAAATTTCTGTTACAATACATCTTATATGGCTGTTTCTCTCTCTCTCTCTCTCTCTCTCTCTCTCTCTGTGTGTGTGTGTGTGTGTGTGTGTTTGTGTACACACACACACACAAATTGTATATGGATGTTTTAAAATGGTCTATATCTGTAATGCCTAATAAAGTTTTGGAGAAAGAGAAAGAAAGCATTAATTAGACTTAAGCATGTTGGTTATATGAGGCTGATTCTTCAGCAGTCAGGGCTTTTTTTCTAGAAGAGGTGCCAGAACTTGTTGAGCTTTTTAAGGGAGATATACCCAGCCTCCATCGAGCAACACAGAACGCCGTGACACAACACTACAGAGGTGCTGGAACGGCCACATTGATGGGTCTCAAACCCTCAGTGAGGGACTTCCCCTGCATGCGAAGACAGACTCTGTTGGATTGAGCAATAGTGGTTTCTGCATGTGCTGTAGAAGGAAGTGAGGGGCAGATGGGATTAGTCTACACAAATACAGAGGTGGAGTCCTTAAAACAACGGGATGGCACATTGTACGCCTCCTTCCAGCAACTCCTGCAGCCAAGCTGGTGCCAAACCTATTGCTCTGTTTTCCTTTGGACCACATCAGCAAGAGGGGTGGGGTCAGGGTGGATAAAAATCAATGATTTTAAAAAAAAAAAAATCAGATTTTTTAAATTTAAATCGGATTTAAAAAAAAATGCTTTTGGAGGAAACATCTTTCTAAAGATAGTTTTCTATTTAAGTTACATTATAGCCCAAAGGCTATTCATCAGGAAATAAGCATTTGTTTTTAATTATGTAGCATGAGGCTTTATATGCAGTGTTTAAATGAACTCCATTAATCCATTCACAATGCCATGCCTTTCCAGAGGTTTCTGTAAGATTATTTGGGGCAGTTTTTCTAACGAGGTATCACAGATGCTTGTTCTTGCAGTTCTCAAAAGTGTGAATTTGTGTCTGCAGAGATAACATGCCTTTTCTTCACAGCAAAAATGTTATAAAATAAACATACAGAGTTGAGAGAAAAACCTTAAACCCATCGTTCTTCTGCAAATTTATATACACAGAATCAACCCCTTACCTCTTAAATACTAAGTTCCAAGAGGTTCAATGAATAGATTGTTTGGAGTGGAGTAGATCTGCAGAAGTAGCTAAGTGTGAAGCAGTAAAAATGAAAGTGCAACCTTGTGAGCAGAATACTCCATGAGTCTTGGGATCTTTGTGTAATAATTGTGCAAGTCAGTTGAATGTCTGTGTAACTCAGACTTGAGGCAAGTGCTGAAGGCACTTCAGGGCTGGCAACCTCTTCCCAATCACACTGGGTTCCAGCAACTGCTCTAACACTTAACTGTACAGAATAGGCACCTGAATGTATAAGCAAATCCAAAGAGGGGTGTGTGTGGAAATAGTAACTGGGATCTATAGGTCCTTGGCGACACCTTGAAGTGCTTGCCAGTCAACTAATAAGAGTTCACTGGTTCCAGGCCCTTCTTCCCAGGGCTTGTTCTGACATTGTCCAAACAATAAAGTCTCTACCTGGAAGTTCAGTCCTGCAGCAGGAATCCCTGAAGTTATCTGCTCCAGTATTGCACCCAGAGCTCAGAAACTACTCGCGCTAATGAATTTCCCTGTCGCAAAATGCACCCAGAACAATGGGAGTTTCAAACATTGGGTGTGGAAGAGGGCTTCGGATGAAGGAGAAGGTGGCAGAAATTGCTGCCTCCCTTAAATGAACGGAGGAGAAACTTCGAATTCAAATTCATTCACAGTAAGGTCTAATACCATATTTCAAAAAAACAATAACTAATAACTTTAATGTCCTGTGACCGGACACACACAATGTAGCTGTTAATCTAACCTTCAAAATGTTAATTTGAAATTTCTTTAGAAGATACAAGAAAAGGCTTCAGATCAATTCTTCCTACATGAAAATTACAAATGATCTTAAAGAGGGCCTTATATGTATATCAGATACCATTTGAAGCAATGCCTGCATTTGTTTAATCTTTCCGGTGTCAAACTAACAGCCCATTTGCAATATCATGCATAATTAATTTGTTTTCCATATAGTAATACGATTAACAACTTCACATTTTACACGGGGTACTGAGTCATGTTCAAATAAAACAAGTTCTAATGAGAAAAATTGGATGTGGCAGCAAACCAGTGTTCCACTAAGCAATCCAGATTCAGATGTGTTTGCCTCTCTTTTCTGCATGTATTTTTGTCAGGATTCCACTGTAAACAAGATAATTTCTTTTGTGTCAGGTTATCCAGAGTAAATGTGTTTTAATGAACAGCTCTTTCATTGTAAATATCGCAATATGTTGAAAAGGTATTTACATATGATGTTTTGGAGATTAAGTACAATCTGCTACATATGAAGACAGATTTGCTCAATGAGGGCCTCTAATGTTAGCCACCTATGTTTTAATTGTTAAAGTCCTATATGCCAAATACATAGTTAATTATTTCAACAGAATGAGTCAATGTTAGCCCTTCTTGCTTTGCCTAAATCTCTCCTAGCTTCCTTTCAAATGTCTCACCTTCACGCCAGTCTTCTGTAAGAGCACACCACCTTTCAAGCTTGCTTTCATAGGCCCTGTTTCATTCACCCCTCTTTTTCTAGGATCTTCTGCCTACCTGGACTCCCTATCTACTGGTCCTATCAGACCATCCAATCTACTGCCAGAGGCTTATCTCACTGGCGAGCCCCTTTGGCACAAGGCAGGTAGGTTGCGCCTACAACTATCACGGACCCTTCTGCCTAGCCAGCATTTGTGTCACAAGCAGAGAACTGAGCCAAATCTCTTCCAGAGGTTTAATCACCACAAAGTGCCCTAGCGTCCCACAATACGGATGTCAAAACAAAACACAAATGACGTGTCATTTAAGGACACGCAACATGGCAAGGCCAGAAGATAAAAATAGATGCCAATAGCAGGTGGTAAGCAATTCTGTTGCAGATGTAAAGCAGGTATTGCCTTTCTCATTTAATCCCAACAACAACAACCCTGTAAGATAGGTTTGGATGAGAGGCAGTTACTGGCCCAAGGTAACCCATTGAGCTTCATGGCCAAGTGGGGAATTTGAACCCTGGTCTACCCAAGTCCTAGTCCGATGCCTGGCCTAACCGCTACACCACATTGACCACAACACATTGTCTTAGAGCAACAGCTGAAATAAGTCACAGCAAGCAGGGCCAATGTCAGGAGAGTGCATTGATGGACACCTGCCAAGGCCCCTCGCTGCAAAGTCACCCACTATTAAACCACAGAACCTCCTGGCCCTGCTGCTCCTCTTCATTGCTGTCTCTGAGTTGTAGGGATGTATTAAAACCAGGAAAGGATATATTAGTTAGATATTATCATTCCTTGCTCATGTTTGTGAGTTTAGCATATGTCCCTTTGCAGCTCAAAATAAGAAAGCTGTTGATAAACTAGCTTTAGCCTTTTAAGAATAAGAGTTTGGATTTGGTATCCTGCTTTATCACTACCCTAAGGAGTCTCAAAGCGGCTAACAATCTCCTTTCCCTTCCTCCCCGACAACAAACACTCTGTGAGGTGGGTGAGGCTGAGAGACTTCAAAGAAGTGTGACTAGCCCAAGGTCACCCAGCAGCTGCATGTGGAGGAGCGGGGACGCGAACCCGGTTCCCCAAATAACGAGACTACCGCTCTTAACCACTACACCACACTGGCTCTCTTTAGTTAAGTAATCCAGAATGCTTTAACACAGACTACATTTCCTGGTAATTTACCTTTTCTCCCTTAAAAACAATAAACACGCAAAACAGTCTTCTTATAAGTAAAAAAAAATTTACTCATTGTTTAACAGAAGCAGTCTTGAGAGTGGTGACTAAAAGTAGTTACAGACCTATATTGTAGTTTATATGAAAATGGAATCTGAGCTGGCCTACATCCTTAGTTATGGATGACCAAAGAGAAGAGATGAGTATTTGAACATCAAGAAGCAGAGAAAAGAGAGAGCAGGCCAGGAACATAGCCAACTTTTAGAGCATGGACCCCGCTTACCTGGCAGTACACAACAGGAGTGGCTCTCACAGGTAGGACTGCCAACTTCCTCTGTGTGTTCTTTTCTAGTGCACACGTCTTGTTGGTTTGAGTGCATTGTAAATATCCCACATGAGCAAGTAAGCAGTGGCCATACTGAGGAGATGGAGAAGTTTTTGGCCTCGCACAGGGTGCCATATTATGAAAGATTGCCAAAGTCTGCCCCTGAGGAGGTGGAGCTACTCAGAAAGGGTGGCCACCGATGGCATCTTGCCTGAGCACCTGCTCCAGCACTGATGACAGGCTGTGCCCAGTAAATTCCTTCTAAACAATGTGCTACAGAAGAAATCCCAGTCCTTATTGTCACATATAAACAAGTACTGAGTCAAGCTTTCCTACCCTTTTAAACCACCACTCTCTCCCAAATTGGGTCAGATACCCAGCTCAGTTGGAGGGAAGGAGCAATGCTTAATTTACTGGAGCTATGCCAAGGTATACCAGCTGAAGATCCTGTACAGTATCTTTGTTTAAAATCAAAATACTTTAAAAAGCAAATAGTAATAAGATAAGGAAAATCTGCTTTAATGTTCCTGCAGTTGGCAAGAGGAATAAGTTTGCATTAAACATTATCATGAATGGAGGTTCTTAAAGCGGTGGCAGTGTGACGGTGCAGCTGTTGCCCTTTGAGATGCCAAAACTTAATGAAGTAGGATAAACCTTGCCGAGGAGACAAACACATAAATGAGATTTATCCCAAGAAGGATTAACTTCTGTACTTACACATTTCCAAGGACAAATAGCGAGGAAAGCTTTCCACATGTCATCAGACGGTGGGCCTGTGGGGGGTGATTTGAGTTTCACACACGCTGAGAATGTCACAAATCCTTTGGAACATGTTAGAATCAATGTTTCTTGTTGATCCAAGTAGAAGTCTCCAGAGCCCCCAAGTGCAAGCATGTTAACAAAATCCTCCGCTAAGGGGTCATTCAAAAAAGCAAGTCACACATCTAGGAGGAAGGAGAAGGTAGCAAAGTGGTGACAATTTGCAACAAGCAAGAGAAGTTAAAAATGTGGTGGTCTTTCCAGCACAGTCACTTAACGTTGGTCAACATGATACAATCAGAACAGGGATAATTCCAAGAATTGCATCCTCAGTGGGAGCTCCCCACTGCAGGAGGAATTATCCCCCCCCCCCGCCTTGGTCCTGATCTTTCTTGGAATGCAGGTACAGCAGAAGCCACTTGGGTTTCCCTGACTCCAGCCTTTTAGTAGCTCTTGATCAGGAGGTTGTCAGCAAGCTGTCCACAGCGCCAGTTAGGGGCTCCCTGACTGCACTTCAAGCATACTGTGTTTTAAACATAAAAAACAGCCAAAGAGCAAATCTAATCTTTAGGGCAGATGCAAGGTCTTTTGCTCCCCAAGACGAAGAACAAGATTGTGTCTCTCCTCATTCCACACACAGAAGCCATCACAGATTATGAAGGGCTGGTTTGACCTATAAATATTAATAATAATTTTATCATTTGTACCCCGCCCATCTAACTGGGTTGCCCCAGCTTTAAATGGCTCAGGACTGCAATACCTCAAGGTCTGCCTCTCCCCATTTGCACTGACCCGGACCCTGCAATCATAATCTGAGGCCCTTCTTCATGTGCGTCCTCTACGAGATGTCTAGAAGGTGGCAACATGAGAGCAGGCTTTTTCTACAGTGGCTCCCTGCTTGTGGAATGCTTTCCCCAAGGAGGTTCGCCTGTCACCTTCATTACATATCTTTATGTGCCAGGCAAAAACGTTCTTCTTATTCCAGGCTTTTGGCTAATTAAACAGTATATGACTGTAATGGTTCTAGGGGTTGCTCGTGCGTAAGTTGCTGCCACTCCTGGCTAGGTTGCCTGGTTGAACCCTCTCTGTCTGGACAGCCTCAAGTTTCGTGGCTGTCTCAGTCGCTGGCAGAATCCGTCAGTGGGCGTCTCTTGAACCTTTTCCAGCATAAAAGCTGTTTGACGCCAAGTCTCCTCCTACTCTCCCTGCGCAGAAGTCTCCTGCGCAGGGAGGGTGTGGGCAGCGGAGTACCCATACTCTCTCCGCTGGTCTCCGGTGAAGAGTCCTGGAGCCTCCCCTCCGATTCCCCCATCTGCCCCCCTTCTCCACTGGTGTTACGCTGATTTTCTTCCCCCGTAGATGGGCTGCCTCTCTCCCTACTAGGACCCTCTCCAGCATCCATCTGGAGCCCTCCCTCCGCCTCTAGCTCCAATGGCAGTTCCCTGACAATGACCTTCTAAAATGTATATTTATATAGTTTTTGCTTGTTACTATGTTATGTATTTTTGTATTTTTATATTGTAAACCACCATGTGATCCTTGGATAAAAGGCTGTATAGAAATGTAATAAAAATCAATAAATGAATGCAGGAATGATAACATCATATACTTTTATTGACTTTTGGTGGGTCATGTTGTCATTTACTAATCATGAGGAATGCACCATTTCTGGGCAAGGCACTGGAGCCTGTGGTAGCATCTCAACAACTAGGATCATTAGATTGAGCATTTTCTTACTCCTTTCCCACTACCCCACCATCCCCTGGTGCTACTTTATTTTTAGAAATACTAATCCTCCCCTAAGGTTACAGCATTCTTTCATGGCAATCAACATAGAATAACACACTTGTAAACTGTGAGCAGATTTGATTTGGAACATGCTGATAAATTTGGCAGTAGAAAATAGGTCACTGATTATATTTCCAATTTGCATTTGGCTCTCGTTGACTTTCTGCTAAGTGTGCCAGAAACACAGGTGCTTAAACGGAGTGTTGCAGTCTTGGAGTGATATGGTCTATCTTGCTTTCATCACACCATGCCTTAGAGTTACCTTGTGTTGTTTTGATAGAGCTATTAATTTAAATTCTTTATTTAAGGTTTGTCTCTCCTTAAAAAAACCCCTTCAAACAGATTTTCGCATATGAATGGAGTGAAACAAAGAATATAATCTTAACCCCAGTGAATGGTTTTCAGACTGACATCTGTACATTAAGAATATGTAAAAATACCAATTTCATGCTCTGACAGCTTATTCTGCATTGGTGGTGGTGGGATAATACCATGGGAATGCGAAATGTCAAAGCATTACATAATGTCAGCCATTCACATGTTCGTCTGATGAGCTATCATGGAGTGTTCCTTAAGGGACATTTCCCCCCCTGAAAAATGAGAATGAGGGAGGAAAAGAACCACAAAACAACAAGAATTTTAAAAAAACCAGGTCTGACTCAAAAATTAATATTATTGTCCAAGCCTGAGCAGTGTGTATGGAGGTCCTGGGCTGTCCAGACAACAAATCCCCCCTCAGCCTTGCTGATGTGGTCCAAAGTAAAGGAGAATAATGTTTCGCTGCAGCTAGGCAGCAGGAGTTGCTGGAAGGAGGCATACAAGGCGACATCAAACCATTTTAGTGACTCCACTGCAGATTTGTGTAGGGTTTACTCCTTAGCCTTTTCTTTTCCCAATGATCTCCCCCAAAGCAGTGGAGGTTTAGGATCCTTCTAGATTGGCTTCCTCTCCATCTGCCCCTCATTTCCCTTTACAGCACATGCAGAAACCACCTTCTCGGCCACCATACCCACTATTGGTCTTTTCCACACAATCTGCTGGAGCCTGTCTTTGCTTGCATAGAAGTCCCTAACTCACTGAGGGTTTGAGACCCTTGGCTACCCCTCATCAGCTTTAGCCACCCAGTCAAAGACGTTTCCTAGGGTCTGGCTGCTGTTACATGCTAATAGCTTATAGGAACCACAGATGAGAGGTGAATGCAGGGTGGGGACCAAAGGTGGACAAACTACCGTACCCCAGAAGGTTCCCCCCACCAGAGATACTACCCCTCCCCTAATACTCCTTACACCCCTTGCATGGACTACCTAGCACTTCAGAAGATTTGTCCAGGCTAGTACTGGGTGCTAGCTGACTCTCAGGGAGCCTTACACTGTGGGAAATTGCTGAATCCTTGCAAGCTCTGACTAAGTTGAAGGTGTTTATTCCAAAACAGCAAATTCACCCCTTACTACCTTGATTTGCCTTGTTTTAAGTTTGGTGATGCTTCTTTTATTATTATCAGCCACTGTTAATGGTCATAAAAAGTGTGAGAGTGAAAATAAATCCTAAAGAAATGTACCATAATTGTAGTTGGCTACATAGTACAATACAACAGCAGGTCTCTGTGCGGATGCTGCAGGCCAGTGATTCCCTATCACTGCAACAGACCCATTTCTACAATTCCACTCAGCCCAATCCTCCTCCTGTAGCAGTATGGACCAAAACATACCATGGTATATTTAAAGTTTAAAAAAAAATCTATGACATTATAAGCTTATTGAGGCTTATTCTTAATAGGCTGTCATGTTTATTTAAAGGATTTACTAAGGTCTGTGGTTTCATTGAGTTACTTTAAATAGGGTTACTGTTCCTTTATTAAATTTCTATACTACCCTTTATCCGAGGATCACATGCAACCATTAAGAATGTAGTTATGGACAAAGGACGATGGCAATAAACTCTTTCTACACACCAGGTCTGGGAACAGAGTGTTGGAAGGTCTGCACACACGAAATGGATTTTTTTATGTTTGGGAAACAACAAAGGTGCTGATTGTAAGGAAACAAAAAAGGCCAGCTATGAAAATGGATTAAAATTAACAGAAGAATGAGAAGGTGATTAAAAAAGAATGAAGTGGCATCATCAGGAAGCATTTGGACTTATGTTTATAACAGGAATGGGAAACCTAATTATTTTTAAAATTGTATTAAATTTAAATAATTTGGATCAATTTAAAACACACACACACACAGTGGTACCTCGGGTTACATCTGCTTCAGGTTACAGACTCCGCTAACCCAGAAATATTACCTTGGGTTAAGAACTTTGCTTCAGGATGAGAACAGAAATCATGCTACGACGGCGCAGCAGCAATGGGAGGCCCCATTAGCTAAAGTGGTGCTTCAGGTTAAAACAGTTTCAGGTTAAGAACAGACCTCCGGAACGAATTAAGTTCTTAACCCGAGGTACCACTCTGTGTGTGTGTATATATATATATATGTGTGTGTGTGTGTGTGTGTGTGTGTGTGTGTACACCAAGTAAGTTTTTTCCTCTATTCAAACCCTAGCAAATTACCCTGCCTCTCTGGTTAACACACAATTCACTATACCCAGAGACTTTTACAAGTAGTCTTCAACTTGGCACTCACGTCCTTCACTCTTGGGTCCCTTCAATCTTCTTAGGGTTGCTGTTCAGAACAACCAGCTGTCATTTGGCAATAGCCACAAAACCTTGCTCTCCTCCTGGCAGACCTTCATCTCTTTGCCCTGGTGATACCAGTTCCTCGGTTTCATCTCCAACTTCCCTTCAGAAACAAACCTCTTCACCTAGCTCCCCTAAGCCCTCGCTGTTCCACTCCAACAGCTACTCTAGTCTGACCAGTACTGAACCTGGCCTTTTATCACTACCATCTGAGTGAAATCCTGTCCTGTGAATGGTTTGTAGTTATGGGCCAATGAGATGAGGCGGAATGTCCACTTACTGGCCAGTTAAAACAGCCCCCCTTTGGTTTTGAATATAAAGCCAGAAATCTTCCCCAGGTTGACAGTTGACAGTTTAACTGACTTTGCTGCTTGCAAGTCTGCATTCAGTTCAGTTAACTCTTTACATGCCTCACAGAATCAAACAATAATAGAGCTGTAGAGCTGGAAGGGATGAGAATACAGTGGTACCTCGGGTTAAGAACTTAATTCATTCTGGAGGTCCGTTATTAACCTGAAACTGTTCTTGACCTGAGGTACCACTTTAGCTAATGGGGCCTCCCGCTGCTGTTGAGCTGTGGCCACGCGATTTCTGTTCTCATCCTGAAGCAAAGTTCTTAACCCGAGGTACTATTTCTGGGTTAGCGGAGTATGTAGCCTGAAGCGTCTGTAACCTGAGGTACCACTGTAATCTAGTCTAACCCCCTGCAATGTAGGAATCTTTCATCCAATGTGGTGCTCGAACCCACAACCCTGAGATTAAGTCTCAAGCTTTACCAACTGAGCTATCCTGAGTTAGCCTCATGTTGTTCAAAAATATATGGACATTTTCATAATAAAACTATCCTACACTGGAGGCTGGTTTGGGTAGAAGTATTGATTCCAGTCCAAAACGCATTCCAGGCTGGTATGCAACAGGTACTTAAAGTGAAACTGACAAAAGGAGTAGAAAAAGCAGCATTTTCTGAGCGCTCCTGGATTTTAACCAGGAACTTCATGATCCAAGACCAAGGCTAGTAAACTAAGTGGATCTGTCTTTGTTGAGGCCTCACAGCCTTTTAAATAATATAAGTACAGTAAACATCAGCTCCTGTGACTGGCATACATTAGGTAAAGGTACTCCTGCCCGTACGGGCCAGTCGTGTCCGACTCTAGGGTTGTGTGCTCATCTCGCTCTAGAGGCTGTGAGCCGGCGCCGTCCGAAGACACTTCCGGGTCACGTGGCCAGCGTGACAAAGCTGCAGCTGGCAAGCCAGCACCAGCGCAGCACACGGAAACACCGTTTACCTTCCTGCTATAAAGCAGTCCCTATTTATCTACTTGCACTTAAGAGTGCTTTCGAACTGCTAGGTGGGCAGGAGCTGGGACCGAACGACGGGAGCTCACCCCACCGCGGGGATTCTAACTGCCAACCATACGATCAGCAAGTCCTAGGCACTGAGGTTTTACCCACAGCGCCACCTGCGTCCCCTGGCATACATTATGAAATATCTAACATGGACATGCCTGGTTTAATTACAGTGGTACCTCGGGTTACATACACTTCAGGTTACAGACTCCGCTAACCCAGAAATAGTGCTTCAGGTTAAGAATTTTGCTTCAGGATGAGAACAGAAATCGTGCTCCGGCGGTGTGGCAGCAGCGGGAGGCCCCATTAGCTAAAGTAGTGCTTCAGGTTAAGAACAGTTTCAGGTTAAGTACGGACCTCCGGAACGAATTAAGTACTTAACCAGAGGTACCACTGTATAGAAGCCTCACTTTCTGTCCTTATGTGGACAACAGGGCAGAGCTTTTAGATGGTTTCACCTAGTCAAGTAAATCCAAAGACTTTTCTGGATCCAGCTACAAATGTCCTGCTTCTTGAAACACCTTACATGCACTTTTAAAGGTATGATGTCATTAAAATAACATTGTCAATTTGATGATCAACAGTTTATTAAAAAACTTTCACAAATTTATGTGTCCACTCAACACGCCAAAAGGTCATTTAACAAGCATTTTTTTTAAAAAAAGAGGGCAGCTTCAAAGGTGGGTGGCAATAGCCCATGGACATGGTGACTCGGCGGGCACCGTTTGCGCCCCCCCGACCCGCAAAGGAGCCTTTTTAAAGGCTCCGGAGCGGGGGATGGGGGGTGGCACGGAGCTATGAGTCTTCTGCTTCCCCTGCCGAGCGAAGCCGCATGCCATTCGACGGAGAGCGCTGACTTCTTCTACTGAAAATTTGGACTAAAAATAACAACCCGTGAGTAATTTGGAAATCGGACATAAAAGGGAAATTTTTTTTTTTGGATTCGGTACGAGCGGGGGAGGTGCAGAAAGGAAGTCCGTCTCCCCCCTATTGTAGACAATTTAAAGCAAGGATTTGACAACTAAGGTTGAGAGAAGAGTCTGTTTTGTTTATTGATAAAAGTTATTAATTTCACGATGGGAAATTTCAAGTGACTGTGCTGGAGGAGAAGAGTGAATTGTGAGAGCTAAAATGCAACCCCCCCCCCCGGAACCGGGAGCGATCCGCGAGAGAGCCTGGTGAAGAGATATAGAGATTTTGACAGCTGTCAAAGTAGCTGTCAAAGTTGGAGAATAAAAAGAGAACTTTGCTATGAGGACTTTGCTGGTTAGATTTGTTACAATTTGGATATAAATTGTTGAAAACAAGGAATAACAAGTTAGCTTGACTTTTGGGTTTGATTTGGAAGGAAACTAAGTTACCACAATCCCCCTAGAGGGGTTTCGGGACATTACAAGAATGACTGTAAGTGGAAAAATACTCATGGAATTGGACTGGACTTTTTATCTCCTGGGAAAGCGGCAAAAACGAAACATTATTTTGTCTACAGAGGTTTCTACACTAAAGGAGACAATAGATATAGCTATTGAAGAATGGAAGGGACTTGACGCAAGTTTTTGTTCCTGAACAAATAAAGCCTCTGTAGAGGAATCAGAAGTTTTTGAATTAGTATGTTTTTGCAGCGGAACAGGAAAAGAAACCTGAGAAAAGTGAGAAGACCAAGGAAGGCCAAAGGCCTGTCAGGGAGGACACAAAGGAAAACAAGAATTGGACTAAGCTGGAAGTTAGAACATTTGGGACAGACTTAAAAGGATTAAGAAACAGAATTTGAGTTTTACTCTTAAATATAGAGGTCTGGATGGAAGAAAAATGGACTTTCTTGAGATAGAGTTTTTTTTAAGATTGGGTGTTTGAAGCTAAAGATTACCAAGAAAACCGGCAAAGTGGAGCTGAGAGAGATTTGGACATGGACGTGAGGTCTCCAGGCTGATAGCAGTTAGACTGATGGACATTGGGGATCGATACCGGGAAAGGGGGGAGGGAGATTTGGAATCCAAACGGTGTAAAATTATATTTTGAATTTTTTTTTATTTCTTTATCTCGTTTTGCTGTGTGTATTAAAAAGGGGAATTCGTGGAAGGGAACTGGGGTCGATCTTAGGGGGAAAAATTTTTTAATGTTGAAAGAAGGTGGATTTTAAAGGGAAAGTGGTTATATAAGATGAATTAAATTGAGTATTGGGTTAAATATAATAAGTTTTAAAATTGGGGTAAAAACTTGTGGAACTAATCTAATGGAAATGGAATACAATAGGGGGAGGGGTGGGGAAGTCCTGGAAAGATGTTAATGAAAACAAAGTTTTAAATGCTTTTTTCCTTTTTTTTCCCTCCCCCCCTCTTTTTATGTTTTGGATTTTTTGGAAACTTCAATAAATATGATTTTAAAAAACCAACAAAGGTAGGTGGCAATATGGTCTGCCATTTAAAATGCCCACAAAGCACACACAAGCCTTTGCACCTGCCTAGTTTTAGTTCCTAGCCTTTACCTTACCATAGGGATGTTTATGTACTTGTTACATCCCTCCCCTCCCACCAAGGATCACTGCCCAAGCCAGTCTCCTTCTTCAATAGCCATTGCTAAAAGGTCTTCTGGTATTGTATATTCTTTTTTTCTGCAATAAGCCTGGTTAGCATTGGCTTCAGAAGCAGTGTATGTTCATAAACTGACCATCATAACCATCACTTTCATCCCAGGATGATGCAAGCGTGTAATAATGGCTGTGATCTTATGCACACTCACTTTGGTGCAAGTTCCATTGATTTCAGTGGGATTCTGTCCAAAACACAGAAGGTAAGAACAGTCCCAATTACAGAATTCATGTGAGAACCTCACTTGTCTGGTTCTCAGATCTGCCCTTCTAATTCTATCATGCATTTTTGGGTTGTTCTTCTGGTGTTCTAAGAATATACACTGCACAATTTCCATGAGATTTCGTCTTGTAAAGAATAACTAGGTCAGGGTTGGGAAACCTTTTTCAGCCTTTGGGGGAAACCTTTTGGGGGTTGCATGCCACTGGTGGCTGGAGCAACAGATGAGCTTATCTTTGTACAGTAGACTGCAGTCCAACTATGCAAAAGTCAGAGATCTCTACATGTGTATCTCTCAATCCAGGCAAGCAACAGGACTTTATACATTTCAAGGATACATCCCAGCCATGCAAAAGTTCTAGAGATGGATGTGGAGCAGGGGACATGAGAGGTGTGGTCTGAAAGTCCCAAACCTCCATAGGGTGGCCTGGAGCACCACATTTGGGTTCCACGCCTGAAGTCCCCTTCCCCAGTGTAGGAATAGGTAAAGCTAAAGGGACCCCTGGCCATTAGGTCCAGTCGTGACCAACTCTGGGGTTGCAGCGCTCATCTCGCTTTATTGGCTGAGCATGTGGCCAAAGCATGACTAAGCCGCTTCTGGTGAAGCAGAGCAGCGCACAGAAATGCCGTTTACCTTCCCGCCGGAGCGGTACCTATTGATCTACTTGCACTTTGACGTGCTTTCGAACTGCTAGGTTGGCAGGAGCAGGGACCGAGCAACGGGAGCGCACCCTGTCGCGGGGATTCGAACCACCAACCTTCTGATCGGCAAGTCCTAGGCTCTGTGGTTTAACCCACAGCGCCACCCACGTCCCCAGTGTAGGAATAAAAAAAGGTAAAGGTACCCCTGCCCGTACGGGCCAGTCTTGCCAGACTCTGGGGTTGTGCGCCCATCTCACTCAAGAGGCCGGGGGCCAGCGCTGTCCGAAGACACTTCAAGGTCACATGGCCAGCGTGACAAGCTGCATCTGGCGAGCCAGCGCAGCACACGGAAACGCCGTTTACCATCTACTTGCACTTTGACGTGCTTTCGAACTGCTAGGTTGGCAGGCGCTGGGACCGAGCAGCGCACCCGGACCGAGCAGCGCAGGAATACATCAGGACAAATCAAAGCATCTATAGAGTGATTCAACCAAATGAGATCAGCCCCAAAATCTACCTTTAACCCAACCTACAATTTATATGTCTGTTTTCCCCATACGTATTCCTTTCATTCCTTTATTTTTTAAAAAACACCAATAAAAACAAATAGATTCCACTAATCCTGTGTCACTTGGGAAGCGACTAATACACGGGTTATAAAAGGCAGATGGCTGTAGGTGAAGCAAGCCCAAATGTGATCTGCTGAAGTTCCTCCTCTCAGGAAGATTGGGATCTGCTGCCCCCTTGGATCCTACTGCCTGAGGCGGTCGCCTCACCTTGCCACGTGGGTAGGACGGCCTTGCATGAAGCACAGGCGCTAAGAGGAGATTTTCTTAAAGCGACAACTCTGGTATCGCCCCAATCCCCAAGCGCTGCCTTCCTGCCCCTGGAGCGCCCCCGCCCCTCTTTTTCACCGCCCAGCCCTTCTCCTTCGGCCGCCTCCTTTCCGAGACAAGCGCGCCGCCACCTCCGCCCTCCCACCCCGCCCGCGGCCTCAAGCCAGTGACCCGTCGGGTTCGTGTGCGCGCGTGAGAGAAAGAGAGAGAAGGGGGCGCCCCCAGCGCGCCTGCGCTCTGGCCTCCGTGGCAAGCCGGCGCGCAGGCGCGGCCATGAGCGTCCCGCCCCCTTCTTTGCCTCAGCGGGCGGAAGCGCAGCTCGACGCGAGGGGCGGGAGGAGGAGGTCGTTGGAGGCGCCTGTTCCGGTCGCGAGGGGCTTCCTGGTCGCAGCAGGCAGCGCTAGTGAGTAACGTGCGCGAGGAGGGAGCGAGCTCGAGGACTAGGCGGCCTTGACCCCCCGCCCGGCCAGGCCCAGGCCAGCTGTTGGCGCGCCTGCTTTTCCCTCGCCCCCGCGCCGACCTTACCCAACTCTCCTCTCCTCAGGTTGCCCAAATTTCATCCATCTGACGGGAATAACGCTCGTGTGGGTGGGTGTTTTCTTACGTTTTTACTTTTGTAAAGGATGGTTCTCTGTGGGGGGTGGGGAGCACTCTGCACATGCTCGAAGGCGCCGGCGTCCTTAACCTCTCCCTCCTGCTTCCCGTCAGGAGGTCAAAGTATTGATGAGCCACAGCCTCCCTCAAACTTGGGTCCAACCAGATGTTGTTGGACTACAACTCCCATCTCCGAACGCTGGTCCTACTCGCAAGGGTTGATGGGAGTTGTAGTCCCAGCCACAACACCTGGGGACCCAAGTTTGAGAGAGGCTGTAGGAAGGGATACCATATCGCAGCATTTGTTAGGTCTTGTTTGCCTGTTGCGAGTTGAAGCTTTGTTCTGTTCAGAGAAAATGTATTTTTCACTTGCCTGGGATGTTGGGATGCTTGAGAAAAACTATTTGCGGTCCTGTTCAGCTTCAAAGTGTGGAAAGATTGTGTTGGCCACCCCCTCTCTTCCAACACAGCACAGTTGGCAACTGATCTTGGGGAAGGGGAGCGGGGAGTAGTGCCATGAGGCAGAGCTGTAGCTACGGAGGGGGTGGGGGGCTAGCCAAGTTTCTTGCCCTGGGTGAAGCCTCCATAGGGGCGCCAAATGTGTGTTGGGTGTTTGTGTGCCAAACATGGTCTTTAGTCCTGGTGAAATAAAGCCTAGTTTCGCCTATTCATGAAGATACTTAGTTCTACAGAGGCATATATGAAGCATTTATGAAATTAGGAGTACAGAAATATTTTGGTATCTTGAACACATGGCACATTCGTTATTGGCCAGGCTTTCTGTAACCAAGATGTTTGAACTGTGCTAGTGCTAGGTATTATATGGGTGTACAAAATATAAGAAGAGCTGAGTAGCCCCAGCCACAGTGCTATGTAGTCATTGCACTTACAAACCAGATTCCTATGAAAAGCCAAGAAGTAGGACATGAGCGCAACAGTACTATCCACACTTGTATACCACTGGTATTTAGAGGCTCACAGCCTCTGACAGTGGAGGCTAGAAACTCAGCCATTGTGTTTTGTAGCCATTTGATAGCCCGATCCTCCTGGAATTTGTCTAATACTCATTTACACCCATCCATTTAAAAAGCCATGGTGGCCACAACTATATCTTACGGAAGCAAATTTAACTATACACTGTGTGGAGAAGTACTTTCTGTTGTGTAACCTGAATCTTCCTGAATTAAGCTTCATTGAATGTCCCCAAGTTCAAGTATTATGTGAGGGAGGAGGGGGGAAAAACTCTCTCCATTTTTCCACACTGTTCACAATTGTATACACCTCTATCACATGGCTTCTTACTTGCTTTTTCTGTAAATTAGAAAGTCCAAAATGTTGTTTCCTCAATTCAAGGGGAGTTGCTCTGACCCATTGATCACTTTGGTTGTCCTTTTCTGAACTTTTCAAACCCCACAATTTCCTTTTTAAGGGGAGGCAACCAGAACTTTATACAGTATTCAAAATATGCTCATGCCAAATACCATATATTCCCTCCCCCCAAAAAAAACAAACTAGGTGCGCCCTATGGGCCGGTGCGCCCTATAGGGCAAAAAAATCGGTATTTGTGTAATGGTATTATGATACCGGCAGTTTTATTTTCAGTTCCATACCCAATGAACCCTAGCATGGAATTCTCCTTTTTCACAGCTGCCATCTGCTGAGCCTGAGTCGACTTCATTGAACTATCCACTACAATCACAATGTCTCGTTCCTGATCAGTCACTGCTAATTTAGAGCACATGAGTATATATGAGAAATTAAGGTGTGTGTCCCCACCGTCATTCATCCCTTTACACCGACTTACACTAAATTACATTTGCCATCTTACTCTCTGTTCACTCAGTTTGGAGAAAACCTTCTGGAAAGTTTCACAATCCTGTTTTGTTTTAACTCCCTGGACAATTTGGTGACTTGGCTACTTCGTTGTTCACCCCTAGCTCTTAAGTAATTTATGAAGTTGCTAAAAAACACATCCCAGTACTGATCTTTGGGGAACTCATTCTATCTCTTTATTGGGAGAACTGTCCATTCCTACATTCTGATTCCTGTTTCTTAAGCAGTTACTGATCCACAGTAAGATATTTTGTCAAAAGCTTTTGGAAAGTTTTAAGTAAGCAGTGTCAATTGCATCACCTCTATCTATATGCTTGTTGACATTCTTGAGTCTAAAAGTTTAATGACACCGGACTTGCCCTTGCTGAAGCCATTCTGGTTCTGGTTCAGGAAGACTTGTTCTTCTGTACTGTATGCTTGTTAATTCTACTAGTTTCCTCAGAACAAACATTAAGCTAACTAGCCTTTAATTTCCAGAATCCCGCTTGGATCTGTTTTTCAAAATTGATGTTGCATTGGCTGCTTTCCAGTCATCAGGTATGGAGGATGATCTTGGGGAAAGGTTACATATTTTTGTTAGAAGACCAGCAATTTCACATTTGAGTTCTCTGAGAACTCTCAGGTGGATGTCCTATGGCAATTTGTCAATTTTTATTTTTTCTGTTAGGCCTAGAGAACGTCATCTCTTACCACCCCTTTCTTCCTCAGTCTCCTATCCTGTGAATATTAGTTCAGGTACACAGTTCTGCCCTATATATTCTGCTGCAGAGACAGATGCAACAAATTCATTCAGCTTCTCTGTAATCTTCTTCAGTACACATTTGATTCTCTTATCATCCAGAAGTCCAGCTGCCTCTCTAGCTGGTCTCCTGCTACAAATGTCTTTGAAGAGTTTTTGTTGGTGGTGTTTGTTTATAGCATTGTGCTTACAAATTATTTTTTAGCATCCCGTTGGCATTTCTTTTGCCAATGTTTGTGTTGCATTTTGTTCTCCTGTTATAAAACCCACAGAATAACACTTTTATATAGCGTGTTTCAAATATTCATAGTGCTTCGTGCACAATAATAATCCCTACAGTAGCCCTGCTAGGTGAGCCAGTATTATTATCCCCATGTTGTAGGGTGAATGATAAAAAGTGGTTTGCTGAAGTCTATCATTGGTGGGGATTAAATTAGTAGAGTCTTGTTTATGAAAAGTATGCCACAATACATTGGCTGCATGGTGGTGTGTCACTATAAGCCATAAGCCGTGGCTTACCATGAGTGAAGGGGACGCGGGTGGCGCTGTGGGTAAAAGCCTCAGCGCCTAGGGCTTGCCGATTGAAAGGTCGGCGGTTCGAATCCCCGCGGCGGGGTGCGCTCCCGTTGTTCGGTCCCAGTGCCTGCCAACCTAGCAGTTCGAAAGCACTCCCGGGTGCAAGTAGATAAATAGGGACCGCTTACTAGCGGGAAGGTAAACGGCGTTTCCGTGTGCGGCTCTGGCTCGCCAGAGCAGCGATGTCACGCTGGCCATGTGACCCGGAAGTGTCTCCGGACAGCGCTGGCCCCCGGCCTCTTGAGTGAGATGGGCGCACAACCCTAGAGTCTGTCAAGACTGGCCCGTACAGGCAGGGGTACCTTTACCTTTACCTTTTACCATGAGTGAGCAGTGTGCAAATGAATACTGCTGAATAGCTCCCATTTTGCCCTCATCTTGTTTTGCTGGGAGCAACAAAACATGAACCTTGCCTTTATGTGTGAACCAGTGCTCCTGGTTTGCTCCTCCCAAACTGTTTGGTGAACCAAGAACAAGCCTTGGCTGAACATCAGAAACAGATGCTAGTTACCATGTCACACTAAGTCAAGGCTTCTTGATTTGTTGGTCCTTGCTTAATGAAGAGAGGTGCAAAATGAGAGTGATTCTGTAGGATGCAGTAGTTGACTGTTCACAGCAAGCTGCAGTTCATGGATTACCATTGTAATAATATACAGATTTTGTCCATCTTTCAACTGGAGATGGGAAGGCGGTGGTAGGAAACAATGGAAAAATGGGATGCCCCAATTTTTCTGTTTCTCCTCTAATTTGTTCTCAAAAATAAAAAGCCCAGACAAATTGTGAATCATGAGTTTTCTCTCGGTTTTTCCAGTTTCCCTCCCACCTCAGGTCCTTTGCATCTCTCAGATAGGGTTATTGCTTTTTAGCTTGGCCTATTGCAGTTAGTCCCACCATTTACCAGGTCCCTGGAGAAAAACAAGAGCTTATTGTGATCAGACTATATTATAAAGGGACGCGGGTGGCGCTGTGGGTTAAAGCCTCAGCGCCTAGGACTTGCCGATCGAAAGGTCAGCGGTTCGAATCCCTGCGGCGGGGTGCGCTCCTGTCGCTCGGTCCCAGCGCCTGCCAACCTAGCAGTTCGAAAGCACCCCCGGGTGCAAGTAGATAAATAGGGACCGCTTACTAGCGGGAAGGTAAACGGTGTTCCGTGTGCTGCGCTGGCTCGCCAGATGCAGCTTGTCACGCTGGCCACGTGACCTGGAAGTGTCTCCGGACAGCGCTGGCCCCCGGCCTCTTGAGTGAGATGGGCGCACAACCCTAGAGTCTGTCAAGACTGGCCCGTATGGGCAGGGGTACCTTTACCTTTATTGCAGTTAGTCCCACCATTTACCAGGTCCCTGGAGAAAAACAAGAGCTTATTGTGATCAGACTATATTATAATTACAGACATGGTGACATCTTTTTAATTGTTTTTACTATTAAATACAGAGTTGAAAAGCTGGTAATTAATGGTGGATATAGTTAAAGCAGGCTTTGGCAAACATTTCAGTCTAATGCACTTGTACTTGCTGTTGCTTTTTGTTCCTTAAAAATATTGCTATTTTCACCTGGATTTGGAACTTCTTGCCTCCCTGAAACCTGGTTGGTGCCTGCAGTATTAACATTCAGATGGCAGCCCAATATTTTGTTTCTTACATTTGTTACTGATGTTCAGCTGAGAAATTTTTTTGTGATTCTATTGATAATAACTTACTATTTCCTCACAGTTTGATTGTTACCCACCCTGAGATCTTTCACAAAATAGAATAGAGTGGAACAGAAACAGCTTGATTAAATGCCACTAAAAGAAGTTTGTCTAGTAAAAATTTCCTATTTCCTTGTCTTTAAGAAGTTTATAGCCCCAGGCACTTTCCCCGGCTTCAGGTAGGATTCTGAAAGAACACACCCCCCCCTGCTGAAATGCTGAAGATCTGCTGCCAGTCAGTGTAGAGAGTACTTAGCTAGATAGCCTTATCCCAAGTCATATCGCTGGTCTATGTTCCTATGCACTGTTTGTGACTTGTGAGTTGTGACTGGCAGGTGAAACACAGATTGCTTTCCCCCAGTATGTGCCAATATTTTCTCTAGGCATCAGACTTCTTTATATTTTTCTCTGAGTGTAAATCTTCTCTGTTCTTAAAAACTCTATTCTTGTGCTTTAATGAGGAGCTGGGGAACTCTTTAAATAGTATGCCCTATCGCAGGTAATTCCTTGTCTCCATCTTACATTGGTTCACAGATGTTGTGTTGCATCTGTGTAGCATGGCAATATGGCTTGACTTGATAGCCTTGAGTCAACAACCACCCCTTCATCGTCTGCTTTGTGTGAAGGGGTGGTTATTAAGTTATTTCCTGTGAGAAATATCCCCACAGTCTAAGGCTCGTATGAATGAGCTCAAAGTGTGGAAAATTAAGCCCCTCACAGCATGCATTGTGTTCTTTTAACTCCAAGGCTTCTACTGTTACCATGCCAGGGCCTGTTAGCTTTACTTAAGATATGAAAGTGGTCCCTGGCTTACTAATGTTGTGTCAGTTTATGGATTTTGTTTGCTATGGAATGAGAAAAGTGCTTTCTATTAGGGGGTATGAGTGATGTTATAAAAATGCCCAGCCAATAATTTTTTGTCAAGTGCCTCAGATCTACACAAAGTGAAAAGGGAGAACAGGCCCTGTCTGCAGGCTTACACACTGAAGTATTGCCACACAGCTGGAATTATGGTGCTATCATTTAATATTTTACCATTCTTCCCAGCTCTATGCATTTATATTTACTATTTTAATTGTAAAAAATCAGTTTCTGTGGAAATTCTTTTGATATTTTCACTGACTGCAAACAGGGTGGTGAAGTAAGCATGATTATTTTGTGTTATCTTTGGGTTACTGCCAGCTACACATCTTCTGGGTTCTGTTGGTTTGAATCTTATTTATTTATTTATTTATTTATTTATTTATTTAATTGAATTTGTATACCGCCCTATACCTGGAGGTCTCAGGGCGTTTCACAGAGTAAAATCAAAATATAAAACCACAAAATACGTAATCGAAATAAAAACAATCCAATAGCCCCCACCCCCTTCTGAATTTATCATGTTGGCAATTGAACTGCATCTTTTAGAAGTAAGTGGAAGAAAAGCAACTTCGTTGATCACCAACCCATATGTCTTGTGGTAGCCATTTCTTTATTCCCTGGGCTAGCTGCCTCTAGTTCCCTTCTTACCCTTGGAGGAAGACAGAGCATTCAGACAGTCAATGTGCCACTTTCCTGTGGCAAGTAGCATTTACCCTTTTGCAAGCCTATATCTAGCAAAGTGTACGGATGCCTGGTTGTGTGCCTAAATAACTTGTTCTGACTCTTTAAATCTGGGGCTGGCAGTGTGAACCATCCCTGGATGACTGTTTGCCAGCCACAGACACAGTGCACCTTTGTGTCACCTGTGTACATGCTCTCATTTTTTTTTTAAAAAGAGGCCAGTATGTATTTAAAAGCAAGATGCCATGCTTTGTATAAGCGCACAGCCTTCATAAATGTGATGCGTACACTTTTGTACTCAATTTATCCATCGTTGAATGAGTACCAAATGTTTCATGTGACTTGGTTGTGAGTGGCTAGTGTCAAAGAGCAATCTTGCCTAATAGTACCAAACATTGTGACCACCTGCAGAAAATGTAGTGGTTTCTGTATTCTTGAGGGACTCATCAGGTATTCAGAATGAAAGCAAAAGAAAAGGTGACAGCCTAGTTTGAAAGGTTTTGGCCTTGGAGACTTAGGGATCCACTTGGTTTCCAGAATGATTTGGGGTACTTAGGTGGTACCATTGATGCCTCTTTTGTTGCACTAGCAGGATGTGAAATGGGTTTGCTGGTGCTATAGGCAGAGATGCTCCTTGATGCTGTTCATTTCATTGGACCCCAGCTCCCTGTTTTAACAAGGAGCCAGGGAACCTGAAGTATACGGAGATGGCTTGAATGCCAATACTGGAAAGACTGTGTTGAATCTAACCAACCATTTCATAGTGTCCAATTGCAGACCTGTGTTGTGATGGCAACAAAGAGGTAGTGTTTCTCTTTTTCTCCCTCCTTTGCTTCAGTGAAATTGTGTCCATATGTGTTCTTCCAGGTGGTGAGGGTCTAACCCTAAGGTGAACCAAAGGCTGATCACTGCAATGTCTTGGCTATATTATTTGCTGATAAACTTGCTGACATTGGTCCAACTTGGACACAGCCATAGGGGCATAATTGAAATTGGCAGTGTTGGACTCAGTCCTCTTGGTGCAGTAGCTAGGATAATTCTGATCTGTTCTACCTTGAGGATGTTGTTCATCTTAGCTAGTGAAAACCTGTCAGTTGCAGCTGAGTAGACCCGTGGCCAGGGTTGTTAATGGTTCATTACTGGATGGTGAAATTCTTCCATTTCTGAAGTGTTCTTTCAACTGCTTTTAAAACAGCTTTCGTCAAATCTAATTGAGTTGGAGGTGACGCTGGTATAATATTGAAAGTAGTTTGGAGGGAGATTGATTGGACTCTAGTAAACTCCTTAAAACATGCATTGCACTGTTAAAGTGGTTGGCCTGAGGTTTTGTGCATTTTAAAAGTTGGTACTTGCATGTAAATGAAATCTTCATTTGGTATTGATTAGCATCATTCATTATTTTGGTTTGTCTGTTTCTTTTGCTAGATGCAAAATACTTTCCACAATGCTTGGTGGATATGATGATATAGAAGCATTTGAAGATGATCTCTACTGTGAAGAGTCTTCTAGTGAAGAAAGTATTGATAGCGAAGTAGAATTTCACCTTTATAGCCAAGTCCATTATGCACAAGGCCATGACGATGCCATTGGAGAAGAAACTGAAGAACATGGATCTGGGCAAAAGCAGAGTTCAGTTAGTAAAGAGCAAAAAAACAACAACTTTATTATAATTTCAGACAGTGAAGTCACTCATGTTTCTGATAGTCCAGATGTTATCACCTTGTCAGACACCGAAGACAGCATTTACAGAAGCAGGCTCCAGAAGCGAACAACACCAGGAGCTCCAGTGCCAGGAAGAACACACAGTCTTGCAGAGCTCACCTCACCAAAGCCCACTAGACATTCTTCTCAGATTACTCCAAATTCAAAGGGATGGACCACAGGAACTTCAAAAAAGGAGAAAAGGACTAGTGAAAAGTCTATCTCCTTTCATCGTGAAGGTGTTCGCATGATCCACAAGATCTTAGTAATAGAGGACAGCTCTTCTAGTGATGAGAATGCAGATGATGTGAGAAGCATTGCCTCTGAAAGTGATAATGTAGAGAGCTGGATGCTGCTGGGAGGTGCCAGAGATGACAAAGATGACAACATCCTCTTAAACCTCGAGGGCTGTGGAACATTAGCCAGTGAAGGTTAGTATGTTTTTTTAGGATTATAACTCCAAATAGAGCTCAGAACTATGATGACGATCTGGCTGTTCTGATGGAAACAATGAGTGATATCCAGTTGTAACAGCACACTTGTGTAATGGGCATTTTGGTAGCAGAAGCCCCATTCTTAGCATAGCTGTTATCTGCTGAATATAAAAGTTCGTTTCAGGACAATTCCTAAAGTGTGTTATTGCTGTTTATTTTTGTTTTTTTTAAAAAAGCTTTCCTTATCACAGTTTATCATTCTAATACAGGTTACCTTCCAAAAGCTGGAGATTTGCTCAAAGTACACACTGGTAACTTCATTATAAAGTATCTATTGTTTATTTATCACTCGCCAGGGTGTATGGAGTGTTAGGGGAGGCATAGTACCTCTGGTGGGGAACATGTTGTGCTCCTTCTGGGATAGTTTGTCCACCTTTGGTCCTCACTCTGCACTCAGTTCTCACCTGTGGCTCCTAGCAGCTGCCAGCATGAAACAGCAGTCATACCCTGGGAATGGCTTTGATTAGCTGGCTAAACTAGGTGAGGATAGCTGATGGGCGGATTGAGTGGAAGAGACCAATAGTGGGTCCAATGGTCAAGAAGGCAGGTTCTGCACATGCTGTAGAGGGAAGTGAGGGGCAAATGGCGCTTGTCAACCTGGGAAGGTAGCCCACCTAGGAAAAGGAAAACTCGGATCCTAAACCTCTGTTTTGGGGGAGATCATTGGGAATAGCAAAGGCCAAGGAGTAAACCCTACACAAATCCGGAGTGGAGTCCCTAAGATGGCTGGATGGTGCCTTATACACCTTCTTGGTGGCAAATGTATTGCTCTGCTTTCCTTTGGACCACATCAGCAAGGCTGAGAGGGAAGTTTGTAATCTGGGCAGCCCAGGACACTGCCAAGGCTTGCGCTGTTAACATAGCAGCTTGATTTCACTCCCAGAGGCACATTCTATTGTCTCTCGAGACAGACTGATGTCAACAGCAGTCACCAGCCAACTTTATTCTTCCCATTCCCTTACTTTGTTTACCATATAGCCCAGCCTTCCTCAGCCCAGTGCCCTTCAGATGCTGCACAACCCAGCCCCATTCTGAGTGAGGCTGAATGATTGTAATCCAAAGTATCTGAAGGGCACCAGGTTGGGGAAGGCTGATCTAGCCTGATGACAAGTTCTGTAACTTGCACACTATTCTGTGACTTTTTGCTTAGCCTAATAAAGGTATTGCTCCAATATGGGATTTGAAATCCTTCCTGAAGTGTGTCTTTCATATGATGCACCCTCAGCTCCTGCTTTGAACACCTAACACAATTTATAACAAGAGGAAGGGTAGTCTGTGTACCTGTTGGTACTGAGTTATAATATTAAGTATATTTCAGATATTTGAGCTTTATTGTAAATTGCAAATGTGAACATTTCCTAATTTTCAGAAGTCTTTTGATTTTGCTGGGAAGCAAATACCTAAGTGTGACTTCAGAAGACAGTTTTTCAGGTTTCCTGGTCCCAAGGTTTTAAGGGCTTTAAAAAAAGCAAGACCAGCGATTTAACTAACACCTTGGGACCAGGATACCTGAAACACTGTCTTCTTCTACATGCCTGTACCATATGAGCTTCAGAGGCCCTGCTCTGAGTGCCTGCACCAAATAAAAAGAAGGGGATGGGTACCAGAGACGTCTCAATGGTTGCATCCAGGCCATGCTATTCGCTCTTCAGAGAGGGTTGGTTGGCACCAACTTCATGGTCAGTTTGGCCTCAGTTAAAGACTCTTTGAAATCTCTCAGGCATTAAAAAAATCTATTTTTAATGTTCTGAACCCCTGCTGCAGATTTTTGGTAGGATGTTTTTATTCTTTCTCTGTTTTTATGCTGCTGTTTTTATGTAAATGTTATGGTATGATATTTTGTATTTACTTACATTTGCATGCTTTATTTGTGAGCTGCCCAGAGAACCATTTATTTTGTGATTAATTACCATAAATATGGAGTAAATTCTTATTTCAAACTAAGGTTTTATATGTTTGAGCTATACATGTGTCAAGTTTCCCATGGCTTGTTTTTTGCCCTAGATGTTAGCCTTTGAAAAATAATGGCTGCAAGCCGTTGCAATGATCCTAGGCAAACCTTGGGTTCACACATTCTCCCCTCGTCATTTGTCCTCCAGTGAGCCCTGAAGAGTTCAGAGGTTTTCACTCCTGCTTTCTGTTAACAACAGTTCAGCGTTGCATCCAAATCCTAAACTGTGGCTAATCTTAACTGTGGCTTGTTGAAATAAGCCAGCTCCATAACCTACGGTTCCAGGTGTGCTTCTTTGAAAAGAACCACTGTTAAGACTAACAGTTTGTTGTGTTCAGATGAAACAGGAAGCTGTGGTCAATCAAAGATTGAAGCAGATGTTTCCAAACTCTTCACAAGTTCTGGAAAAGAGAGTTAGCATTGTGCATGCCCAAGGTGCAGGCTCAAACTGGGATGATTGATCTCTTACAGCAGTGAAAATACGTACCTCTCCTCTTATTAGGTGTAATTTTTTACCAAATCCCCACCCCCCACTACTGTGCTGATCTTCACATTTTTAATATTGGGCAAAAACAGTTTCAGTGCACTAGCAGGCCTGTCCATCTTCATGCTGAAAGCTGCTACAACTTGTTTTTCTTTACAACTAATAGGATGGCTTTTGTAACATTCTCATTCCCTGATGGCATGCAGGAAGGAATATCTAAATCAGAGCTTTCCAAACTTTTCATGTTGGTGACACAATTTTTAAACATACTTCATTTCGTGACACAGTAATTCAGTTTTATTAACCCCTTTCCAGCCCTAGGAGGAGCATGGGGAGTGTTCACATGACACACCTACAAACTGTAGCCAACACACTAATATGTCACAATGCACAGTTTGGAAAGCTCTAAATGTTTCCAGAATAGTCCCTAGTTTATTTCCTTCTCGCCCTCTCTCTGTTTGATTTGGGTATTAATTTATCAGCAATACGGTGAAATCCAGTTGTGTCAGTCTGCTAGTGAAACACACTTCTGATTGTTTGATGGGACTATTCTGCTCTCTCTTTCCTCCTAAAGCCCCCTTTGTGTTCTCAAAATGTTCTAGAATGTTGGGGGACCTTCCAGAGTAAATTTGGGGGTGTGTGCACAAGAGGGAGGAGAAATCCGTTGGTGTGACGTTGAGTCACACTGGGTATATACCGGGTGCTACTGAATTGTGCTGCATTTTGCAGCAATTGCTCAGCAGATTGTATGCCATATTAAAAGCTTTGGAACCTTTATTGTGGCTTTGGCTAGCATTTTAATAATTCTGGAAACTGATGCATTTAGATACTTCAACTAGTTTACATGACCTTTCCATGGTGCAGTCATTCTTGCTTTCCCTGTATTTTCTGACATCTACCTGCTAATTTGGAAAGTGGCTAGCTTTAAATCCTATCCAACGTTAGTCTTGTTCCAGAAGTGATAAGTGACTAAACAAAAAAATGTGATGTTTTCAGAATAACATTTTGCTCTAGATAAACTGTTTTTGTTGTTGAAATTTTCACAATTGCCCTGTTAAAATTAGGCAGTAACAGCGGTAGGAATTTGTGATGGTTTGGATCACAGTGCACACTTTTTCCAGCCTAGATTTTTATGAAAGAAAGGGAGTGAAAAGAGAAATTTGAAGAGCAGAATGTGTAGGAAATGACCGGTCATTAAGCAGATGTGCTTTAGAGTTATTTATGTTGTCCACTACATTACAAAATTGACAAAGTGTGGTTGTTTTTTTTAAAAAAAAGAATTGACTTTAAATATTACACTGTGTTTGGAACAGATTTGCTTTTTATCTAATGTTAATGCTATCTGTTCATATCACTATTTATGGAGACTTTTAATCATGAATTAATGAGAGGAACACACTCTTCTAAAAGGAAGGAAGGTTTTTAAAGATAGGCACTCATTTTTAATAAGCCCCTCTTATTGAACATAGGAGGCCCTACTGTGTATATGGTGGTGTTCAATACTTTTTCCCAAAAATAATGTTTGGGGTACTCTCATTTTCCTACTCACATTGAAATACTGCCCCTCAATGAGGCCAAACTTAGATTCACAAAATGTTTAGGGGTATGCGCACCCCTGCATCCCCCCAGGAAAAAAAAAAGCACTGGTGGTGTTTATTCCACATGCAGTGTAGCTACTAGGCACACTCAGTGTTAGGGAAACTAAACGTTGATTCTGTAAGGTTTCACGTCATTAATGTTAACACTGGAACTTCAGGTGATGTTTTGGCAGTTCACTACCTATGTATGTAGCTGTTGGGGAAATAATCTAAAATTTTGGCATTAGTCCTTGGTAAAGTTAAAGACCTTCTGCTGAACAGCTATTTTTTAAACAACAGTTTTTTACCAGTAAAGAGAGAAGCAGAAAACTGAACTAGTATGTTGGGAAAACAACATTTTAGTTCAAAATGATTTGTTTTCCTTACTGATCTTTTTGTTTCCTTGTGGTGGTAATCTGTTGTTTTTGATCCTTGAAAATTGTAGCGACATCTAGTATAGAACTGATACTTTCTTAGTAATTTTTTGTGAATGTTTAATTTGATAGGAAATCATTCTATTGCCGTAGTAGAAAAAATACTATGTCTTTTAAACCTTGGGACTTTTTCAGAAAGCTTCTGTCATCTTTTATTAGGAATCTTTAAAACTGTTTTTCCATCTGACCAATAAAACGATTTTTTGCTTACATAGAAATTAGGTAAATTTTATGTAAGTTGACTTTATACTGAAATTGAACCATTCACAAAAAAAATATTTTCAACAATAGGTGGTTAAAGCATTATTCCTAGAACAGAACTATTAAATTCTGCAGTTTTTACCACTTACAGTAAGAATAGGAAAAGTAGTTATTTTAGTAATTTCTGCTTTTGTGCTGTCAAAATGCTACACTTTCAGTTTACTGAGAGGCTGATCTTTGTCACAAAACATTTTTGATGCTTTTCAGAACGTTATTTTCATCGTGTTAAG